ACACACACACACACACACACACACACACACATGCACACAGACAAAACAAAAACCGTAAGAGCTGGGACCATAGCTCATCTGTAGGGGACTTGCCCTGCTTGTCCAATGCCCTGGATTTAATCCCCAGCACTAGAGAGAGAGAGATGGAGACAAAGAGAAAGATCTGCTCCAGAGGCAAGTGGGTCCCACTCTGGACTGGGTCTTAATTATGGATGAATGGAGGGGGTTTCTGAATATCTCAAAACTAATTCCTCCCCTTTCTGCCTCTATTTTCCCCCTTGACACCAGTGAGGCAACTACTGGGAATGTAACGTCTTTGTTTTCTTTCTTTTCAAGGAATGGCAGCATGTGAGACCCAAGATCCTAGACATCCGTCACCTACCTCCTCCATGAGAATGATGAAGGTGGCATTGTGCCCCTGCTCTGCCACCAGGCGCCCATCAGTCGTCACCACATGGAGACCCCGAGGAGCTTTTCCAGGACACAACTGGGCCTTAGCAGAGTACTTGTCCCTTAGTCCATCTGTACAGTTATTGGACACAATCCTCCGGTACCTAAAGATGATTAACAATCGACAGTATTGACAATGCTGTGATTTGTAGTGTGTGTGTGTGTGTGTGTGTGTGTGTGTGTGTAGAAAGGGAACGCAAGAGAACAGAAGCAAGTCAGATACATCTAGCAGTTGCTCTTAAAAGCTGAATCTCAAGAAATACAGCCATTCACAAAGATAAACAAATGTTAAGGGACTGCTATCCCTCCATGTAAGGAAGACTAGCTCCTTAAACATTTTTATTGATCCTACCTGGTGAGCCAGGGATCAGATCAGTGTCTAAACCAGTCAAGAAAAATCAATGTCTGACTTACACACAACAGAGGAGGCAGGCTAGGAAAGTAGGAAAAGTCAGCAACCTTCACCAGGGAGAGGCCTGTTCTATTTCCCCAGGGCCACCTCTAGTTTTCTTTGTACCAGAAAGCAGCTAGAAAACCAAACTTCTAACTCCCCTTAATCAGAAGGCCTCATCCTGTCTTCTTTCCATCCCAGGATATCTCTCCATCCACTAATGCCAAATATCCTTTACTTTGGAACCACTGGGCCTTTTCACAGGACAATTTTTCTCTTTGTTGCTATCTCACTTCCTCTTCAACACAAATGTCAGATTAGAAATGGCCTCCCAGAACTCGAAGGTAAGATCCTATTGCTGAAGACAGAACATACTTCCAACACAGGATTTGGAGCAATAGAACTGGAATTGACCTGAAACCACTTCCCCTGAAGGTGAGCTCTCATAGCTTTGGGGAGCACTATGATGGTGGCAAGGGAAAACATCAATTAATGGTCAAGACCAGCTTCAAGACCAAATAACCACATCAATGGCCAGCACAGGATACAACATTGGTGCAGTAGTGGCACTTTTATCTTGGGGGCAACCAACAGCTACCTAATTGGACTAAAACTCCACTCAATGGGAGGAAACTCAAGTACGGTTCTGTAAACATAACCAAATACACATGATTGGAGAGGTCATAGATCTTAGAGAAAACCCCAAGACTGTCACATCCCTAAACTAATGTAATTTCTTGCTATGTGCAAAAGATGTATCCTTCTATTTACAGACAAACACTCCAGTCACCACTCATTAAAAAAGCTTATTTTGCACCAGTCAGAGACTATCACCAAGTACCACACTGGTCACACACAGACATTGTCTATGAATTGCCCAGGCCTAAGCAACACCTCTACAATGCAACCTCTATACCTAAGGCACACGGAACATAGAACATGGGTAATGAAGACGACACTAATGAATCTCTCAGTTCTCATTAATAAAGATCCCTCATACGATAGAGGGCCAGGAACACAAAAGGTCACAAATGGCCAAAAAGTAGAGACTGAAAGTCTGCAAAATGCTGGTCCTTCGACAGGACTCCTATATTAAACCTCACCCACCCAGGCGCTCAGGGACCATCGAGGAAAAGAGGGTAGGAAGATTGTAAGAGCCAGGGAGGAGGTTCAGGACCACATGGACACATGGGCCTTAACAGGGATGACCAAGTATATGGGCTCCAATGGGGGAGGCCTATGAGAGGGTGCCAGTAGGGATGGGGGTATAAAGGTGATTAAGATTGTTTGAGATATTCTGTATAAAACACACCTAAATTCAATAAAAACTAAACAAAGAAAGAAAGAAAAATAAACCCAGCTTTTAAATTCCTGTTCAGTTCTATAAAGTAAAAGTACCTTACAGAAAGGGTTGGCCTAGGAAACCTCCCCACAAAACAGGGCCGACTTCTGTGATAACACGTGTGTGCAGTGATGTCCGGACAATTGCCTTGTATGAGAGCTTGCCGGCAGACCTGACCTGAGCAGACATTATTTCCAAGAACACCGTGATCTGTACATCTTCACTAAAGTCAACGTTCTGATAAAACCACATAATGTAAAAGTGCCACCACCACCACTCCCACCATCACCATCACCGTCATCACCATCACATCTCATTATCTTTTATTCTCTGTATCAGAAATAATTAACCAAGTAATCCACGTTGCTTTTTTCTGGAGACCTCAAAACCAAAGAAATTTGACTTTTCCCAAATTGTATTGGTCCTCCATTAAGCCTGACTTTTTCTCCTTGACCCTACAATGCTGAATCACTCTACACTTTCATCCAGAGATCCCACGGGTGATAGGAATCTGTTCTGATGCTGTCCAAACAATGTATTCTCAACTGAATAATTCCTCAGTTTCTCTCAGAAGTCACTGGGCACAAACGCATCATAAATTGATGATGGATAGATGATAGATAGACAGAGAGACAGACAGACAGACAGACAGACAGCTAGATAGGAATAGATGGATGGATAGATGATTGATTGATTGATAGATAGATAGATAGATAGATAGATAGATAGACAGACAGAATATCCTTTTCAACAATGATGCATTGTATTTGATTTCATCATTTGAAAAGGGAAACAATGAGTTAATTCCTCAGGAGTCTGACTTACCCTGTGCTGTTAAGGTAGCTTTGACCAAGACTGCAGTCCTTTGACAGGGATGCTGGGTTGTACCAGAAAGCTGGGACACACTGGCTCTCCCCATGTCTCTCATAGCCATAGTCACTGTCAGGAAAATAAACATGGCAGAATGCTATGTATGTCCAAGTGCTAAAACACTCAGAGATGCTCATAAATACACACATGTACTATTATATCCAAAAAGTCATAACATGCTTTAATTATCCTGTGAGGGCAAATACTCATTTCTTGAAAAATAATGTGAAAGTGATTTTAAAAATACTCTGAAGTCATTTGTAATTACAGTCGAGAGAAAAATGAATTATCAAAGGAAATTCTAGATAAGAAAATATATGAATTCAAATACTGTGACAGGTACCTTAGGCTGGAGGTCCGAGTGGGTAATGTACATTTAAAAGCATATTATGAGTTATAAAATTAATTAAATAAGCAGATGGTAACCGAGAAATAACTTAAAGGCCAAGATACTTTTCCGTACTATGATTTAACATGTTTTGTACCAAAATTGATTTAGTAGATCATTTTATAATCATTTTTCCTACAAATTCCTCCTCTCTCAAGTGCACATATATATGTGCATTCACATATATACCTAGAAAGATTCAAAATTTTCTCCTTTTTAATTTTTTGATAGTTTTATATGTGAGTACTATATTTGCATAGTTCTATCTCTCCCAGTCCCCCTCCAACTCCTCACATTTCCCCCTCCCTGACTCTCACAATTTCTTGTCCTCTTTGATAATAATAGTTACATATTTGTATAGACAATGTATGTAGAATTATATATATATATATATATACACACATACACACATATATATATATAGAGAGAGAGAGAGAGAGAGAGAGAAAGAGAGAAAGCACTGACTCTATCTAGTAACCTATCTAGTGTGCTCATGTGTACCTGTGTTTAGTGCTGCCCCTTTGGGATTACCTCCCAGGGAGCCAGCCTCTGTAGAAACCTAATTCTCCTGCCTCAGCATCCATCGATTGCACTAACTGTCTGTAGCTCTTCATCTTATGATAAAACCAGATGGGTAAAGTTTCTCCCATCTAACTTGGCATACAAACTGGTTTCATTGTTATGCAGATCTTGTTAGATTACCACACCATGAGAATTTCACTGAGGTAGTTTCCCTATCATATCTATAAAGCATAGGAACCATGGGTGGGGAAGAAAGAGCTCAAGAGAGGATAAGAGAACATAAACTTTCCTTGATCAGATGTAATGAGATCCATATAATCTTAAAAATAAAATTAAACTACAGTTCTTTTCCACATTTCTGCAAAACCATGGCCATAAAAAATGAAGAAAGTAGTAACAGACTGTTACCGAAGTAACAGACTAGGGAGGCCCCCATCTGAGGCCACAGAGTGTGTGCTGGATCACTTCAGTTGTCAACCTGACACACCTGGGAAGAGGGAACCTCAGTTGGGGAATTTCCTCTATTTGATTGGCCTGAGGCCTGTCTGTGAAGCATTGTCTTGACTGTTGAGTGATGTGTGAGGGTCCAGCCCACCTCTGGGTGATGTCTCCCCTGGGCAGGTACTCCTAAGTTGTATAAGGAAACAGGAGCACAGGCGAGGGGAGTGAGCCAGTGAGCAGCATTCCTCCATCATCTGTGCTTCAGTTCCTTGCTCCAGGTTCCTGCCCTGCTTAAGTTCCCACCTTTACGTCCTTCAGAGATGGAAGAGTAAGATGAAATAAATTCTTTCTTCTACAACTTGCTTTTGGTCAGTCTTTTATCACAGCAATGGAAACCAAGCCAGAACAGTGTATCCCTGCTTCTTGGAGTTCTGTAAAGTTCTCAAGTATGCAAATGTCAAAAGATAAGATTAATACAATAGGTATGAGTCAGTGGAATATGCCCTGGTAACCAGCCAGAGGTCATCCAGACTGACTTCTCTTGGTTCATGCTTCCAAATTCAACATCAAGGGAATTCCTGAAATCCACAGACAGCACAATCTTGTGATCAGAATATCGACTCAAGAAAACACAAAACAGCAAGAGAAGTCATTTGCTGTGCTGATATATATTTTTTCCTTTCTGCTAGTGTGGTTTTAGAACTAAGCTTTTGTATGAGTCCACTGCAAACACTGGGAAATTATCTGGGGACTGTACAGAGGAAGGAAGATGAGAACACAGAGGCAGTTCCTCATTTATCATTCAGTGTATGTTCTAACCTGGAAAATCAGTGTGATGAGACCTGTCCTCCACTGATTCTTCAGTCTGTTGAGGAGATAGGCATCACGCCCCAAACCTAATACCATATCAAAAGAGTACCATACGGTGAAGTGCCAACTGATGAATGAGGTCATGTTCATGACCTGCCCAGTTTGCCCCAGCCCATCTTCTAACTCATCATCTTCCTCCTGAATACCCACAGGTGCACAGTCCTACCTAACCCTTCTATCCCCCCCGCTTTTTTTTTTTTCTTGTCTTGATGTATGTACTGGTGTTTGCTCACTACATTTTTCTTGTGTTTGGTGGTTTCCCCCTTAGTCTTCTTTAATATATAGGTTATACGAGGCCATCCCTTGTTTCAGATACAAAATCTTTGGGGCTATCACACACTACAAACTGAAATGGAAACTAAAAGAATATTGGCATTTATCATTGTTTTTCATCAATTAAATTGTCAAGAATAAATGCTGAGTGAATGGACATTACAATTGTATTTAAACATAATCTCATTAATTGTCTCATTGTATTGTGCCCCTTTCTCCAAGGGATTTTGAGACTATATTGACACTCCAGGGTTACTGATATTCAGAGACTACCCCCATGTGCTCAAGAGATGGAGTGGATGTGAGGAGAGTTGCAGATTGATGAATGGAAAGGCAGAAATCAAGATCAGCTTTGATACAATCATGCTTCAATGAAGTTGGAAGGAAAGATGGAGAAAAGGACGTATCTACCAAGTAAACCCTTTGCCAAGCCTCCGGATTCACCAATGAATATCCCTCAGCCCACAGTTCATTTGGACATGGTGTAGCTTACAATAGTCCATAAGATATGATTCTCAAAATTTCAGGAATTTTGAAAACTAATAATAGCTGTTAAAGCTATCATTAAAACTTGAATTCCATGTGATTTCATTCATATAAATTATATTTAAAATGCAATAAGCAATAAGTATACAAAAAGACAATTTTATATTGCTTTGTTGCATTTAATTATTGTGTATTACTATAACATGTGCTATATATATATATGTTACTACATACACTATATGGTAAATTACATGTAACCATTGTTATATTATTATCCTCTCAAGGCCATTTACATTCGTGTATGTGTCTGATGGGAATACAGTGTAAAATGGGTCTACTGCTTATGTTTTATCAATTCTGCATTCATTGTGCCATGTTGAAATCTGCCTTTGTGGGAATATGTACAGCACCAAAGGTTTTAATATTTACCATCACACCACTGCATGTTTTATTTCTAAGCATTATTTATGCATGGAAACACCGAGCTGGGTATATCTGCACTACTTCTAGAAATTTCCTGACTGCTTTATGCTGTCGACTAGTCCTGCTGACCCTACAAAATATTGGTAATCTGTGAAGGAAGAACACTCCTAAGCAGCCTTGGGAAGGATAGAAATGTTTTAAGGCTTTTTGCAAAATGTAACCATCGTCAGCAGTTCTGTTCGGCTCTGCAACCTGTTAGTGATGCCGCCATTTTAAAAAGGTGCATCAAGCATGTTGCTTTGCCCCAAAGAGCAAAAGCACCTCGTTAATATTTAGCAACACTAACAGAAACTGGCTGCCTCCAAGCTGTGGACTTCTTCATTAATTTCTGATAAATGTATATTAAACTCTTTTACATTGTCCAGCCTCTCTCGAAGCTCATGAGTTTGCATGATTTAAAGAAACAAACACTAGCCCCTGTTCAAGCTTCCTATAAAAAGATGTGTTTTGATGAATTGTGAGGTTTAGACAGAATGAACCAGAAAGTTTGATTTGCCTCAGGGAAGTACGCTGCCAGATTCTGCAAACATCCAGGAAGTTTATTTCAAGAAATGATTTACCCCTGTGTGTTCCTTGATTATAAAAAGCAATAGTACTTCTCAAAATGTAGGGGAAAAAGTGTTCATTTCCAAGAATACGTGTATCTTCTAAACCCTACCCTAAAAAAGGATTTAGATTCAGAAAGTGGAATATCAAGGGCAGTAAAGAAATTAAAAATGTTGCACATGTCAGAATAGGAAGAGATGCTGTGTACCTAGGATCCAGTCCCCTCAGGGGGCTGACTGGAAAGAAATAGCTAAAAGAGGAGGACTGACCTGCCAAGCATTGCACAAAGTTGATGGTGCAGAAAGGGTATTCAAGACTCCTGATCCCTGTTTAGCATTAGTACAGTCCCTGATCTCCAAGAATACTACTACTGATCTCCAAGAAGCTTCTTTTAAAAAGATTTATTTTATTTTTAATTATGAGTATGTGTGCTTCTTTGGGTATGTGCACATGAGTGCTGGTGCCCACAGAGGTCAGAACAGAATACCAGATCCTCTGAAGCTGGAGTTACAGGTACCTGTGATCTACTCAACATGGACACTGGGACCCGGGCCTAGGTCCTCTACCAAAGCAGTAATTGATCTTAACCACTGAGTCATTTGCCCAGCCCCATTCTGAAATTCCTAACCAATCACAAAGTCACAGTACGCTCTCAACAAATTTCAGGGTCTGCCCAAGTTTCATGCCAAGCCTAGCCTTAGAAGAGCCCCCCTGACACTATTCTCCCTCCAACTTCCCATCTTGTAGCTAAATGGTTCTTTAACAGGTTCTTCGGTCCCATTTTAGAAGTGTAGCAGGGTGATCTTGGGATGAGGTAACTCCTTTCAGGCACAGTGTGGGCACTCCCATAACAGAAACAGCCACCACAGAAATAATTAGTATTGTCACCATTTGCATAAGGCAGAAGCCTAAATACAGCACAAAGAAAGATCATTATATTCATGCCAAATACTGTTTACAAAACCCAACAATTATTCCTCAAACATTTCTTCCCCTAATCTAACCCCATTGTACACCCTGCCTTCTCCTTCTTGCTAACACCATAACACATATCTGCTCT